TGGAGGAGAGAGGAAAAAAAAAAACCCCCTAAAAAAAAGAAAAAACCCCCCAGCAAACCCGGGCTGGGTGGGGGCGGCCATCTGCTGAGGCCCACTGGGGTTCAAGGAGACGGAAGCAGAGACTTTAGTGACTTCATGAAAGAGAAAACCTTAAACAAATGTTAATAAACAACTGGAGTTTAGATTTTAGGGTTTATATTGTTTGAAGTTGTAATGTGCTGGATGACAGAGAAGAACACAGAGGAACCAAGGAGCCGTTTTCAAGCCAATTGTCCAAAAATGAAGCCATTTGCTGCGTCCAGCAGAGAGCTGCAGTTAAACACTAAAAACAGGAAGAAGTGGATCATTCATAAGCCCCATTTACACCAACCTCTGAAAGTTCAAGTTTGGATCAGTTAGCCGTGCCGAGCTCTGTTCAACGCCATGCTAGCACAGTTCCTCGCCTCCTAGTGGCAATCTACGGTACTACTGCTCTCTAGAGGTAAACAAGCTATATGCAGCACCCGTAACATTCAGGAAGTTTATGGAGAGTCAGGCGAAGAAGACAGCCTTTGGTGAATTTACCTGACGTTCGGCTTTTGGGAAGCGGATACGACAAACGATAGTCTAATCAGGGCTTCCAGACGCAGGAAACAACGACAGACGTTGAGGTTCATCACCCTGCTAAGCAGAATCACCACTAGAAATCGTGTGGTACGGTGGTGAAGCTAGCTGATTACGGAGGCTGACTGCAAGGAGATGACGCGGTCTGCTCATGCACGCTTTGTAATCTGAGAACTGAACTGTGCCGAGTCCTGCTGATGAACTAGTACCAGTTTCGCGCGGTTCAGTTTTGTTTAGCGGTCCAATTCAGTTTTTCGTGCCATTTATACTAAGCAGTTATCTCAGTTACCGTGCGCAGACCGATCTCTGCACGGTTTCTGAAGCACAGTGTAAATGGGGCCATAGAAGGAAACATAAAGATGTTCACAGCAGGAAGGTTTCACAACTTAATTGAATGTGGGATAAGATGTAGCTTCTGTGAAGAGTAAGAAAGGAGAATAAAAATGTCAAATTAAAAGCCTAAAATGATGTAGAATTGTAAAGAACTAGTAGAAGAATGTTTGAGAGGGAGAAAAGGGGGGCCAGTGTGTCCTCCAGTAACCGAAGCCTGCTGCAGCAACAGGCCGTGTTCATCCAGCTGTATGTCTGATTTTATATTTTTTTTATTAGAACAGTGTGTCATTCGTTAGTACCATCCAGTGAAACGGCCTGCCTTCAGAACTCTGTAATTAGAAAACCCATTTAAACTCAGTGAACCTTTTGTTTGCACTGAATAGTGCGAGAAAAGAAGGCGCCGGTGTGTGTGGCCTGCTGTCTGTCTCCAGCAGCGCTGTGTCTGCTTTGCTGTTTGCAGGGCCCAAAAAATACAGAGGTCAGGAGTCAGTCACTGCTAGGTGGGTTTCAGCAACGTGCTCCCCAGAAAGTATTTTAAGTTCCATGATTTAAATCAGGTCATTTTCAGAGGATTAAGCAGAAAAAGCAACATCTGTATGACTTTTGAAAAGGCTAGTTGGCGCATTTCTCTTTCCCTGTCAGACATTTCAGGCATTATAAACTGTATGCCAACTTTGATTTGAAGCTTCTATCTTTCTTTTTTAGATCTTGTATCTAAATGGTTAGAAATGTGTCACAAAAGCCATTCCAATGTAATTGAAATCAGATGCTTTATATTTACTTCCTTAGTTAAAATAGACCCAGATGCTATTACATCATTATGTTCATAATCATGCCTAATCTGTTCACTCTTGTTAAGGAAAGCCAGCTTTTGAACATATTTCTAATATAATCTTACACAATACTTCAAGTATCATGCATTAAACATTTACCTTTTAAAGCCTTTACAGTTCCGTCACAGTATTTCCTTTTCTAGCACCTGTTCTCTCTCCATCCAAAGTGAAATGTCTTTTTATTTACACGTGTAAATAAAAAATGACTAAATAAATCTAATTCTAAGTCCTCTCTCTCCTCACCGCTCCTCCTGCTGTTCGGTCCAAAGCTCGGTTTGACTTTTTCCTCCTTATCCTGTTTTCCCTTCGGTGAAGAATATCATCAGTCAAATACTAAAATGATAGAAATGGAAAACAAAAAGCTATTTCAACATTTTTCATTTCAACACATTAAAATTAAATCTAATGAAATTTGTTTTACGGGTTCCAGAGCAGCCCAGTGTCAAAGTGTTGAATAGTAAAAGTAGCTGTAAGTAAGCTGAAGTATAAATGTTAAATAAACAAGATAAAATATTCACATTTAAGCAGTTATAAATGAATATAAGAGTCTATAACATTACAACAGTAAATAAAAATGGGGCTTTTTGAAGGAACATTATGATGACTGTTGAAGATATCTGTGAAGAGTCTCAGTCATNCTGTTTTCCCTTCGGTGAAGAATATCATCAGTCAAATACTAAAATGATAGAAATGGAAAACAAAAAGCTATTTCAACATTTTTCATTTCAACACATTAAAATTAAATCTAATGAAATTTGTTTTACGGGTTCCAGAGCAGCCCAGTGTCAAAGTGTTGAATAGTAAAAGTAGCTGTAAGTAAGCTGAAGTATAAATGTTAAATAAACAAGATAAAATATTCACATTTAAGCAGTTATAAATGAATATAAGAGTCTATAACATTACAACAGTAAATAAAAATGGGGCTTTTTGAAGAACCATTATGATGACTGTTGAAGATATCTGTGAAGAGTCTCAGTCATCCAGGTCAAGCTTGAAAAAGTTCATTCTAGGTACCTGAAAGTGACGTTTTCTAGAATAGTCAGGTGAGGGCGGGTGAGAGGTGAATCTTCTGGGTGTTGCTGGTGAAGATTCTCATCATCCAGGTCAGAGTCATTCCAAAAAAGTTTAAAATCAATCCACTGGACTTTGTTTCCCAGTTTGAAGACGTTTCTCTTCCATACAGGAAACTTTTTAAATTAAAAATGTCAGAAATAGCTTTGATTTATCCAGCAGCCCAACAAAGAATTGTGTTTAGAAATCATGCAAATAGAAACAGATGAACGGGTCCCCCCCTTTGGAATGGGGGTCATTTGGATTCTTTGTTGGCCTGCAATGCCCCATACCTGTTTATGTCTCTGAAAGGGGCTCATTAGAGGGAATTGTTGGCCTGGATGGCCAGGATTATTTGACTTCTGAACCAAGGTCTGGAAATTGAACTATTTCCACTAGAGTTGGCATCACTCTTCAGTTTGAGTGTTTTATGTAGATGAATTTCACTTTCAAATCTTGCAAGCTCTCCAACATTACGTAGCATAGCTTTATGCTAATCTAACGTCATTTTAGTTTGTGAGCATTTCTCTACACATTACTGCTGTTTCCCTGCAGTAAAGCGTCTCCTTTCTATCTGCCGCTTTGCTAAATGAAATAAAACCAATAATAATGCATGTTGCTCTTCATCGATTCTGACTGAAAAAACTTGGTTTGTTCTTTTTAACTCCATTATATACATTTGATGGATGGACATGCTGCAAATCAAATCAGCCGTTTTAGACCGAAGTGCTTCCATTGAGCCCTTTCTCCTCTGTGGATCAGAACTTTTCCAGTATGATGCAATTTTTAGTGAAATCATAAAAAATCTTTGTGTCCCACAAGTTTTTTGTTTTAACTTAAATATTTTTCTTTTTGTGGCTAAAGGTTTGGAGACCATCGGTTTGGATTTAAACCAAAAGACTCACATTTTAAACGTTTTACAAAGTATTGACTCAGCAGAGCAGAGAGGAATCTATTTCACACTGTTTAGATTTCCATTTGTTCTGATCTTTGTCATCAGTGCTTATTCCCTGTTCTGTCCTGTGCATGGCTATAATACAGACATTCATGTGGGGTATGAACTCTTCTTTCTAACGCACTTCAGTACTACAAGATGATCAAAACTTGGCCTTTTAGGTTTTTCTTAAACATTAGTAGTTTCAGTATCTTGGGGTCTTGTTCATGAATGAGGGAAAGATGGAGCGGGAGATCTACAGGTGGATTGGTGCAGCGTCTGCTGCCCTGTACCGGCCTGTTGTGGTGAAGAGAGAGCTGAGCCAAAAAGCAAAGCTCTCGATTTACAGGTTTATCTACCTTCCTACCCTCATCTATGGTGATGAGCTTTGGGTCACGACCAAAAGGTTGAGATCCTGGATCCAAGCGGCTGAAATGAGTTTTCTCCGTAGTGTGTCCGGGCTTTCCCTTAGAAATAGGGGGAGGAGCTCAGTCATCCGGGGAGGACTCAGAGTAGAGCCACTGCTCCTCCACATCGAGAGGAGCCAGTTGAGGTGGCATCTGGTTAGGATGCCTCCTGGACGTCAACCTGGTGAGGTGTTCCAGGCACGTCCGCCCAGGGGGAGACCCAGGACACGCTGGAGGGGCTTTTACCCCATTTACACTACCCTTAAAAAACCGTGCAGAGACCGGACCGAGCTCAGTAACTGAGATAACTTATGGTTTGTAAATGGAAAGCAAACTGAACTGAACCGAGCTAGACACAACCGGACCGAGCTAACTGCAGACCAGTTCTAGAGGTGGGCTCGGCTCGGTTTTTCCCTGGCTCGGTTCTCTGATAACAAGAGCGCATGAGCAGAACGCGTCATCTCTATCTGGCTGCACGTCCCGATTCACACTCCATTCCAGTAGGTGGCAGTAATGCCCCTCTGGAAGTTGCTCGCCAACCAACACAAAACAGAAGAAGAACTATAAACATCCACGAAAGGTTGCCGTCTTTGCCTGACCCTCCGCAAACACCGAAGTACAGCAATAATAATCAAGCATAACTTTCTGAATGTGACGGACGCCGCCATTTTGATTGCTTGATTCCCTCCTCCTTCGTCTTCTTCTTGTGTTTTATGGTGGTTGACAAACAACTTTTGGTGCATTACCGCCACCAACTGCTAGATTTCCTCCTTCAATACTGGCAGTAATACCGCAGATCGTCACTAGGAGGCGAGGAGCCGAGATAGCGTGATGTGTAAATGGTCATCAGAACCGAACTGGGCCTGGTTCACTGATCCGAGCTCGGCCCAGTCTCGGCACGGATCGGTTTTTCAAGGGTCGTTTAAATGGGGTAAATGTTTCCCTCCTGGCCTGGGAGCAAGCAGTACAAGGCCTTGTTTATATAAAGACTCAAACTCACTGCAGATCCAGACATTTAAATTGAGAAAGCTTCCTGGAGAGGTGGTCTTCAAATCTTGGAAACCAAGTCCAGTGGATATTTTTTTGAACTTTTACGGAAGAAAATGTGTAGAAAATGTACCACATTAGGTAGACGAGCTCTGAGCCAGCTCCATGTCAGAGGATGAAGAGAGCACATCCAGTTAGTCACAGTCAGAGAAACAGGACTACACTGAAAAACAGGCCAAGCTCCAACATCTAGAAACAAAGGTGTTGATGGCAGCAGCACAGCTGATATTTCTCTCCAGGATGGAGTCACAGCCAAACAGGAACAGACCAGATGAAGCTACTATGAGAAAAAGCAGAGAGAGCAGAACGTTAGAGATTGAACTAACAGATTCTGCAGAGTGGGAGAATAGAGATAGAATGAAGCAGAATGATGAAAAAGGGGTCCCTATGTCCTCCAGCAGTCTAAGGCTATAGCAGCAGAACTATAGAGATTGCTCAGGATAACCTGAGCCACTCTAACTAGAAGCTTTATCAAAAAGGAAAGTTTTAAGCCTAGCCTTAAAAGTAGACAGGGTGTCTGCCTCACGGACTAAAACTGGTAGTTGGTTCCACAGGAGAGGATTTTCATTAGAACTCTGGCTGCAGCATTTTGGATCAGCTGAAGGCTTTTAACTACAGTTTGTGGACTTCCTGATAGTAAAGAATTACAATAGTCCAGCCTTGAAGTAACAAATGCATGGAGTTGGCCTTGAGATAAGTAAACAGTTATTTTACTGCACACTTTGCAGTCCTGTTATTTAATGTATGTTATAAATAAAAAGCCCTCCCATAAAACACGATGTGAAAAAAACAATCTTCATAGAGAGCCTGCTGCATCTTCAGCTGTTTAAGTTTATCGCAGCCCAAGTTAGTCCTCCTAACAACAAACCAAAGGGCGGCTGCATGATATGCAAAGCTGGGGGTGATTACCTGCAATCCTGACTCTCCTCAGGAACTGTACACCTCCAGGACTCTGAGGCCAGCAGGAAAAAACACAGCTGCCTCCTCCCATCCTGGACACCGACAGGAGGCTGCCGTCTATTGGGACCAAAACTTTCTTCCCACCCGCAGCTCACCTTATTTACGTGCTCTGGTCTCCCAGAGACACTTTTCCTCTGGAAATGATGCAAATATCTCCGCATAAGCAGTTTTTAAGGCAATGTCTTTAGTATCTGCCATGGCGCCCTTACTCTCCAAGAAGTTTTTTGTCTGAGCAGCAAAACTAATTCCTGCTGCACCTAAAACACCAATTGATTGGATTGAGTTTTATTTTTTTCGGTTTTGTTTTAATGAGGCTAATTTTTGTACAATTATTTCCTTTTTTTTTTCTTCTACATTGTTTACACTTGATCACTGCTTCATTTTATGGAATGAAAAGGTTAATTTACTGTCTGGAAAGCTGTACTAAACGAACCGACGCCACATGGTCGTCTCTCTCTGTCCACCCTAATCCTGTTTCTCCATATTGTGTTCCAGGTTGCTGTATTTATGAAAAGCCCCGGCAGTTCGGAGAATCTTCCTCTGAAAGCGAGGGAGACGACGATGACGAAGGCTGCGGCAGTGCCAACTGCATCCTGGGTCATAGCAGGAAAGGACATGGACAGAGGCCTGATGGCGGGAGCACAGCACCCCCCAACTCTGGAGGGACGCACCGCCATTAATGTGCAACTCAGTGTATTCGGGTGGGGGGGGTTAAACATTAAAAACGGCCCTGCTGTTTTAGTTTAGTTTCCCCAGCGAGCCTCAGACAGACCTGAGGTCAGAAAGTTCCAGCTGCTGGAGCGCATCATGATGGAAGTTTACCAATTTAAATCTGTTGTTTTCAGAAGCAGCTTAGTTTGAAATGAAAAACTTGTTTTAAAACAAATAATTAAGACGATAGATGGTCAGGGCTCTATGCTGTCACCCTGGAGCTCCAGGCTTTATATGGCTGCTACACTTTCATGCATGATTATTCCGGCACACTTTCAAGTTTTCATTTTTTATTACTTAATTCTTAATTTTCCCAATTTGATTATGAATTTCCCGCAAATTTGACAATTGTATGGTTATAAATTGAGATAAAGAGGAATGACTTGATTTCCAGCTTATCTACATTTAAATGCGATGCTAGAAATCTCAGAAGCTATTTTTAGGCTCTGGTAGACTGATTATAATCTTCTTAAAACGCAGCTTTTTTTTATTGTCTTAAGATGTTTAAAAGTTCTTCTGCAGATGTAAAAGCTCTCCGCTCTTCTCCAGCAGCTCTTTGGACTTTCTGACTGTAAGCTGTCGTTGAAGCAAAGCATGATGGGAGATAGGCGCTGCATTTTACACTGATGCTTTGTGATCAGCTTCATGTTGGTCGTTCACATTAGAACATGAAGATTTACTTTGCAATTCCACCAGAATGACTCGAGGCGTGCAGAGACCTTTAATATTGTGATCAGTATTTAAAAACGGCGGATTCTCTGGGGACTGCCGGACACAAAACCACATTTAACTTCATTAAAATTCTCACGGAAGTGTTTATTTTCTCTTTAGGTTTTAGGAAGTGTTTCATATTCACCTGCAAAGATTCAAATAGTTCTTTTATATCCACTTTCAAAATGAATTTACCAAGAGAAAACTGACTTGGTTCTCCCGCCTAAGATCAAATCTCTGCAGAGAATTTCAGTTCCCCGCTTTTCCACATGGCGCTGATCTTCTGTGTTAAAGTCGTCGATCCGATTTTGTTTTCTGATGACCAGGTTTCCTGGGACTGTTGTCATAGCAACTGGACCATGAAAACCTCTGAAAAGGTGTGCATTTTCCCTAAAGATTAAAGACCAGGTTTTCTTGTGGCATCAAGCTACTGATTCATAGAAGTTGATCCCAAACTGCAACAGAAAAGCTTTGAGAATCAAAAGAAAAAGTTTTTAAAGAGGCGAACTGCTTGATTCAGACCAGAACACTGACCGTCCCTTTACTGCTGACAATCTGTTTCAGTTTTACGGTAAAACGATGCTGGAGAAAATGGATTCTAATTCTTTTTATATGCTAAAATAAACGTCTGTGATGCTAAAATGATGAAAGCTAGCGTTAGCCGAGTTTAACCTACTGCCATATAACTTCAGCCAAATGCACACAGCAGGTTTAACTTGCCTGTTTAGCTTTGTGTTTGTGAAATCAGCGATGTTAACCGGTCCCAAATACCCAGTGAGCCGATGGCGGCATTAATCTGCTGTCATTTTATAACCATGATTCACCTCAGAATGATTTCAATCCTGAACCATCACTCATTTCCTGTTTGATAAAAGTTTAAATTAATCTAAGATCGACGTGAGTCCTGCTGGGTTTAAAACAATTAGCTGAATATTTTTCCGGATTTTCAAAGACAGGATGATTGGCAAAAAAAATGCTTATGTTTCATCGTTTTAGGACCAAATCTTCAAAGTTACACTAATTAAAAGGCAATTATAAATTTTGCAGTAAAATGGACAAAAAGAAAGACAGCGTTGCTTTCTCTTAGATTCCAGTGAGATGAGAACAATTCCTCCCAAATAAGCTTAAGTGGCTTATTTGTTTAAAATGTAAAAATATTCTTTTTTAAACTAACGTGAAAAAGGCAGAGCTGACCTAAAAATGTGCATTTAAAATAATCCGTACCGTTGGTGGTTATTAATGACTAAATTAGCGTATAGACGCCATATAAGGGGGTTTCTACCCAAACAGTTTAACGTTGAATCCTTTTTTTCTTTAAACTTTGTTTTAGATGTTCATGAGTAACATGAGATTAGCGGGAAACGCCGCCTCATGTTTCCCCGCTGAGATGAGGCAGACGGGTACGAGCTCTCTGCATATAAACCTGATGATAGTGATAATTACCGAGCTCCGTTCCGGTCGCTAAGAGAGCAAAGTAACCTGGATCCCAGATTATGCTGCATTCAGGACAGAAGTATGACGACTGCGGCTTTCTTTGCTGTGACTAGAATGTCCTTTTATTTTTCGTCTTTGCACAGGTTTCTATGCTGTTTGTTTATTTATACCATCTCTGCACACTGACTACAGCAGTGTTGTTCTGGTAAACACATTCCTGTATATACTGTTGGCATAATGAAGCTGATATAATGTGAAAAAATAAAGTTTTGAACTGTGCTTAAAGTGACAAAGCAAAATGTCTTCAGTCTCTTCCTCCTCTACAATCATAAAATAAAGGGAATTATTTTCCAAAAATGAGGAGAAAAGATGTGATGAATCTTTCAGTCTTATGACTAATGATTTGAAGTAAAAAAGGGGGAGGGGCTTAAAGTGAGAAAGCTGGAAATGCAGCATATGGATGAACTTTGAGGCCTGATTTTCTTCCACATATCTGGGTTTAAAATGTCCCAAAGCTTCATAGAGGAAATCACCTTATGGGATTTTTTTTAACTTAATCAGAGTTGTGATAAAATGTTTTCATCTTTTCTGGGATTCAGCTGAATAAAAACCATGAATGCTGTAAATGAGATAAACTTCTCAGTGTTCAGTCATTTTAGGATGCAGACTGGAAGCTCATCTCAATATATGCAGGTTTAGCTTAAGGAAAGTTACATTCCAGATATTTTAAGACTTTTAATGTCAGCTTTAGTAGCGGCTCGTTCTGAGATCTATGTTAACCTACTGAGGTCGGCCATCTTGTCAAACAGGTGGGCATTTTCAGATACTTTGAACATTTCTCCAAATCTCTCGTTTAACTTGTATGATTATTTCCACCATAGCGCTGCTTTAATGGCGGTGTGTTTTATCTGGAGATGTAGCAACTTGATTTGACAACATGACTGCATGGCCTTGATTTCACCTGGAAACATTCTTTACATAAACACGTCATCCCTCATAAAGCTTCCCTGCTACTTAATTCTTTTTAAGCTGCATTAAACCAGATTGATGGTGTGCAGAATTCACGCCGTTTCATCTTGCTTGCAAAGTAAACTGGTTTCAGCCACTCCTGGTTGGATTTACATGGGGAAACATGGAGGACGTTCCTCTGCTCTGAAGCTCCCAGCTGTAACCTTTGCTTTTATTGCTTCCTCTATTGGAGTAATTGGAGCTTGGTAAACTATTATTAACCATTTAATTGGTCAGACAAAAAAAAAAAAGATTTTAAAACACCTAAAAAAGAACAAAATGAAATCAGCAGCTGTTCTTTAACCTTTAAGGAGGAAGAAGCCTGCCTGATAAAACTGTTTTAATTCTAATATGGAAATAAGAGGCTGCAGATTTGGAGGCACCACATACGCTCTGCTGAGCAACAAAATACAAACACTTTGTTTACTCACTTTAGTAAAAGTTAAACAATCCAGTGGACTGTTTCCAAGGTCGAAGACGTTTCGCTTCACATCCAGAAGCTTTTTCAATTCATTTGAAAAATAGATTTCAAACTTGGAAACAGTTTTTATTTTTTTTGGAATGACGATGGATGATTGAATCTTCACCATCAAACTTACTCAAGTAGAAATGTTGGCCATTTATAACTGACTGGAGTATTTATCTTTTAGAAAACTTTTTAATAAAAATAATAATTGGACTTTATTTATCTCGGTGCTGCCCCGACTTGTTGCTCACCACATACCACCAAAAAACACAATAGTTTTTCAAAGTTAAATTTAACTCCGTTAACATTAGTTATAAAACTAATAAAATTAAGTCTAAGGAAGTTATCATCCAGAATTGTAGAAAAATGTTCCTTTAATAGGGGAGATAAGTAAAGCTTCTGTCTTTGACATTTATTCCTGCATTATTTCTGTTACTTTAATACTTTAAGTAGTTTTAAAAACATTTTTTTTACACTTTTACTGGAGTGAAAACCTTAAATTGATCCTCTAACTTCTACGAAAGTGTTATTAAAGTAGGAGGATTTATACTAGAGAAATAAACATGAATCCTTTTAACACCTCTGCGCCCTTCGCAAAAACAAACGGGCTAAAAAATATATTTTTTTATATTTAATACAAATTACAGTCAAGTCCAGACAATTTCTGTTTTTATGACCTTTGAAGAATTGATTTAAGGTATTTTAATATTAATTCAATTCCTTTAAAGAGTTTTTAAAGATCTGCAGGAACCCTGGAGTCAAACTTCTGTTGAGTTCAACCAAAGAACTTGATCAGGAGTCGCTTTAATTTCATTTCCTGCTGCAGCATTTAGGAAAACTGTTAAAATAATAGATTTCATTTTCAATTAGATTTCAAAAACAGGAATCAGAAACTAAAGTGGAAAATCTGCAGAAAGCTCTGCTTTAATGAACAAGTATAAACATCTTACAGAAAGCAGAACACGCTGTTCTCCTCATGGCCTCACACCCCAGGCCGCATCAGGCCCCGCCTATAGTGATCCAGCACTGCTCAGGAGTGACGCCTCTGTTAAAAATATCTGGGACGTCAGGTAACGTTCCTGTATGAAAGCTCCACACCAGGAGCTGATGAGGAAAACGCAGCAGTTAGAGATGTTATCAAAAGGGAAAGGTCAACTTCAAATTTACCCTCCACCTTACACAGGAACAACCACATTCACTTTAGCTCAAATATTCAGATTAGGAATAAATGCATTTTATTTAGCAACAAAAGTTGAGCCTAAAACAAAATTCAAAGTGCAGTTTGTTTCTAATAGTTTGCAGCCTGCAAATGTCACCTAAAAATACTGCAGGCTAGTATTCCTAACAACATGATTGTGCATTATGCCCTGAGACCATGGCATTGAAACGACAGGCTGGCTTGTCTAGCAGACAGAGTGTTTATATATATATATAAGTTCAGATCTTCAGGTAAAAGTTGAAAAGTCCAGAATGAAAATGTGCAATAAAAGCAGACGGGTTATTTAGTGTATCATTTGGTGCCTTTGAGTGAAAATAATGTCAGACTACATTAGTGTGATGCTTGCTTATGTAGCAATGCTAAAGTCTTTAACGTTGAACAGTGAAATAATACTTTGATTTATCTGATAAAGCTACGTTCAGACTGCAGGCAGCAGCAAAAACACGCTGCTTCAATTTTGATGCTTGTACCAGTTTTTAGTAGCATCTTTGCTGCTCTGGCTGTGCGGTGGAAGTAGTGGGTCTGATGCGCGGTGGGCAGTGCTACCCTATCCTTTCTCTGCCTGGAACAATGGCAGCTATATTTGTTGTGATCAGCAGGTAAAAAGTAGTTAGAATCTATGTTGAAGTGAGAAAGTCCTCCTGAAAACATGGTCTGTGCAGTCAGTTAATCCAGATTACCATCCTGCCTTCAAAGATTATTTCTCTGTGGGAGCCGCTCAGACCCCCACATACCGGCGCTGCGCTGTCACTGGGAATCCCCAGCAGCAGCTGCCTCAGGCCCGGGAGCCTCTATGCGCTTTTCCGCTACTGTTCGCAGCAGCTGGAAGTAGAATTTAGCGCTTTTCAGGTACGTAATCCAAACTGCAGACACCAGGATAATAAAATCGAACATATTCTGCCGGCAGGTTTAACATTTGAAGTTAATTTAGGCATTAAACTGTTTCAGAGGAGTGATCATAGCGCTCTGCATCCACAGCGCTGTGTCTGTCTCCCTGCCAGCTCCAGACCAGCTTCTCTGATTGGTCGATGTGGCGCATCGAGCAGCAAAAGTAGCCTAACATTTTTTTTCAACACGCATCAGATACTCAGGAGCTTGTGAGGCGCAGCTCCTGCTGCTCAAAACGCGCTGCGGGATCTTTTGTTGCACCTTGATGTGCGTCAACCATTGACTTTGCATGTAAACCTGCTACTGCTGCTGCCTCTGCTGCTTGCTGTCTGAACTTAGCTTTCTGCTGCAGCCTGGAAACACGGACCAACCATCCCATCACCTCAGCTTTGCTGTCTGATGCCCACAGCAGGGAAGGCACCTGGAGGTTAAAGCTGGACAGTTTGGTTCTGATGTGTGGAAGGGGGGGGTCAGAGTGAACCATCCAGGCTGGAGGCGACAGCTACATCTACTTCAACATACTGAGGACCAAAATAATCTATAGAATCTTAAAGTTATTTCCAATTATTTCACTTTTTGCAGGAAAGCTGTCCTTCAGTTTGTGAAATCAGGAGTAGATGCGACTCGTCCTGCAGGATGCAGGTTAAATGAAGACTCAGACAGCTTGAAGGAGCATCAGGGAGGGGGAACACCATCATTTCTGCAAGGGGGAATAATTCAAGGCTGAGGCTCCTTCTATAAACTTTTCTTTTTAGTGTTTTAGTATGTTAGGAGCTTTTCTCTGACTAAAGATGCACTTAGTGGCTTCTACTCATCTACTGGAACTTTTCTTTATTCTATCATCTAAAATTGACCTCATTTGACCTCTTTGGTTCATCTCAACATTTAAAAATAGGATCAGACAAAGTAAAGCTTTAAATATGAAAGTATGATGCTTTTCTTATTTTTCCTGATGATTCAGCTCACCGGGGAACTAGGCATCCT